GCTTGGTGGGCACCATAGTGAAAACGTGATTTCACGCGAAAGTCGTCGAAGATTACTGGCAGCATTGGTCCGCGAAAGTGGTATCGCTTCTTTTCGTGTTCCTTCAAGAGCTGCCCGCGCGGCAGTATCGGCATGTTCGTTCCCTATGACGCCGCAGTGACTTGGCGCCAATGAAACGTCACATGATGTCCTTTCTCGTGTGAAGTGTGGAGAAGGCATCGGATTTCGAAAACAAGCTGTTCGTACGGCCCACGACGCAGTTCTGAGAGCACAGATTGTAGGGCAGCCCTTGAGTCGCTGAAAATCAACCATTGTCGCGGTGGTTCCCAAATGACCACACAAAGTGCAGCGCGCAAATCAGCTAGTTCCGCTGCTGTAGATGCCGTGGAGTGGTCAGTCCTAAAACTTATGGTAACACCTCTTGTTGGGACAACTACTGCACTTGAGGGCCACTGGCCGTTCGTGGAGCCATCGGTATATATATGTACACTGTCTGAATATTTCTCGTGCAAAAGAAGAAGATACAGTTGTTTCAGCACGGGCGATGAAAGCTCAGATTTCCTCCGGATTCCTGGTAGACTAAGATGCACCGTGGGTTGAATAAGACACCAAGGGGGTATCGATTGTTCAGATGCAGGAGTGAAGCCCGAGGTAAAATTCTCGTTGTACTTCACAATCGTTTTAGCGAACGATGCTTGGCACCTCTATGAAGGCAACAGTGCAAGGGGATGACAGGGAGCACGTGAGAAGTGTCTGATGTGCGTTCTCAGTACTTCTACAGAAATGTGAGTTTGTATCAGATAGTCACAAGCAATTTCAATTGTTTTCTCTGTTGACGTACATCTGGGCAGACCAAAGCACACTCTCAGTGCTTGGGCTTGTACTGCCTGTAGAGCACGAACACTGGTCTTGCAGGTATTGCTCAGCACAGGCAAGCTATATCTCAGGAAACCGAAAAACAGGGCTCTGTAGAGTTCCATCGTTGCGTCTACTGACATCCCCCACGTCTTTCCTGCCAGGAACGTGAACAATTGGGAAATAGCGGTCAGGCGCTTCTTCATTTAGCCCACATGCGGACTCCAACAGAGGTCCCTATCAATAAAAAACCGGTGGGTTCTGGCGTAAGAAATAAGTCGCCCGCAGATTGAGATGACGTAAGGGTTCATTGCTTTGCGAGTGAAGGCCACCAGCGCGCATTTTTCTGGTGATATGCTGAGACCTTGTTTTAACAAGTAGTTGGCAATCATGGTTGCTGCTTTTTGAAGCCGGGAACGTATCTGAGGACGTGTGACTGCCGAAGTCTAGACATAGATGTCAACTGCGTATATTGAAATTTTAATGGTACTTGGCAAGTATTCAGCAAGGCCAATTAGTGCAAGAATGAATAGCGTCGGGCTAAGAACTCTGTCTTGAGGAACACCCCTGGAAGTATAGCGTCGCGTAGTTGGGCCATCTTCTGCTAACACAAAGAATGATCTTGCAGCCAGCTAACTCGAAATTCACCGACAGACTCGACCACTAAGACCAACCACCGCAAGAGCACCTAAAATGGCCTCATGTAGTACATTATCATACGCGCCTTTCACATCTAGAAACAAAGCTGTAGATAGTCACTTGCGGGATCTTTCTTGCTGAGCGTACGAAACTAGATCAACGACATTGTCAACGGAAGAACGGTTGTCTCGGAAACCAGCCATGGAATTCGGATGAATCTTGTAGTATTCAAGATACCACTTAAGGCGGCCTAGTATCATGCGTTCCATATCTTCTCTACGCAGCTGGCGAGTGCTATTGGGTGGTATGAGGCGAGTTTTAGTGGGAATATGCCCTGCTTAAAGGTGGGTAATAAGTGGCTTACTTCCCAGTCGTCAGGAACATTGCTATCCTGCCACGAGATGTTGTAAAGGCTCAATAGTTCTCTCCTTTCACCTTTCCCAAGGTTGCAAAAGGCTCGGTAAGGAATACCATCTGGGCGTGGAGAAGTTGAACGCCTGCAGAGAGTTGGTGCCGCCTCGAGCTCCTCTATTCTAAAAGGGAGTTCTATGTGGTAGTCACTGGAACGGGGGACGTCACCTTTCACTGGAGAATTTGGACGAGTAGCTAGGTTGGCGATCTGAGCTCAGAAAACTTCTGCGACATCGATGTCTTGCCACCCTTGAAAGAGCGCGAGCACTTTGAATGAAAAACGCTGTACCGTAGGGTGACGCAAACCTTGCATCATCATCGTCATCATCATCATCATCATAATCAGCCTGACTACGTCCACTGCAGGACAAAGACCTCTCCCATGTTCCACCAGTTAACCCGGTCCTGTGCATGCTGCTGCCAATTTATACCCGCAAGCTTCATAATCTCATCTGCCCACCTAACTTTCTGTCTCCCCCTAACCCGCTTCCCTTCTCTGGGAATCCAGTTTGTTACCCTTAGTGACCAGCGGTTATCCTGTCTACGCGCTACATGCCCGGCCCATGCCCATTTCTTCTTCTTTATTTCAACTATGATATCCTTGCACCGTTTTCCAAACAAGTGAGAGTGGCTTGCGAAGGTCTAGTGACTGGCAAAACGTTGTTCATAGTTCCGACGCTAATCTATCCATGCGACGCCGAATCTTCTTTTGCATCCTTCGGGCTGCTCTAAGATCGTGAATTGATTTTGTCCGCCGATACCAACGCTCCGCCCGGCGTCGCAGTGCTCGGAGTCGCTCCAACTCTATGTCAAAGTCGTTTCGTGTGGAAGATATCGTCACCGTGTGAGTGGCGTTTTGCATCGTGCTCTGAATTGTTTGCTTGAACCCAGATCGTAGGCCATCGCTGAAAGCATCTTCCATGTCAGATTTGAAGTTGGTCCATTGGAATGCTCGACTGGTCGTCCGTGGGCCACAACTAGACAAGCCTTTGATGTTAAGGTAGATTGGAATGTGATCACTTCCTCGTGTCTCAACATCTGGAAACCCCTTGACGTATTTCGCGAGAGAGTTTGAGACAAAAACAAGGTCAAGACAGCTGCCGTATGTCACCTCTCGAAGAAAAGTGGGGCTACCATCGTTCAGGAGAGTAAAGCCATAGTTGTAGGCGATGTTCGCTAACCGGTGTCCTCTTGCACTTGTCCGCGTACTTTCCCATGCGTGATGGTGCGCATTTAAATTACCTATGATGATCCATGGTGCAGGGCACCCTCTCAAAATATCCGCTGATCTCCTGGAATCGAGATTACTCGACGGCGATATATAAACACCTATGAAAATAAACATGAGTTTGTTCATTTTCACAGTGATGCAGACATACTGATTGTCATCGTGAGGCGCATTTGGTTGCACAAAATACGTCAGTTCACGACGAACAAAGACGATGATTTTGCTGCACGTACCGTTTGTTGAAGACATGACAGCTTCGTACACCGTAAGTCTTATTGGTTTCGACAAATTGGGTTCACAAATGACGATAAGTGGAAACACGTTGGTATACACAAACTAACGAAAGTCTGAAAGGCATGATTTGTGTCCTCTGGCGTTCCATTGGATGACGGATGCAGCCTTGACTTCTTTACAAAATGGCGAGGTGTGAGTAGCCATCTTCCTAGTTGAAAGATTTAAGAACTGGGCTTATGGCGTTCAATACTCCAAGTGCGCTTCGATCAGATGCTGTCTTCATGTCGACTAATATCGCTCGGATGGCTTCTATAAGGGAATGCAGCACCGAAATCACTTGGCGATCTGTTAGAAAAATCTTCCATGGCTGGAGACGGCTCTGGTGTTGCTGCAACCTGCTGAGGTTCCTTGGCAGAAGAGCGGGTTGGAAGTGTGGGCCAATCCTGCAGAGAAGGAGGCTTGATTGATTTGTGGGGTTTAACGTCCCAAAACCATGATATGATTATGAGAGACGCCGTAGTGGAGGGCTCCGGAAATTTTGACCACCTGAGGTTCTTTAACGTGCACCCAAATCTGAGCACACGGGCCTACAACATTTCCGCCTCCATCGGAAATGCAGCCGCCGCAGCCGGGATTCGAACCCGCGCCCTGCGGGTCAGCAGCCGAGTACCTTAGCCACTAGACCACCGCGGCGGGGCAGAGAAGGAGGCTTCTCCGCTTCTTTCATAGAAGTGGTGGGTCCTTTCGCGGCGCTACTGGGTGGAACCGCTAAAGAGTGGGAACCAGCATTTCGTGAATGTGCCTTCAAGACTTTCGACGATGCCGACGCAGACGCCGATGCCGGACTACTTCGGCTGTCTCCCTCTGTGTCGAGTTGTCTCGGGCCATTTGTTTGAGAACCGCGCGCTCCTTTTGGATTTGAGGGCAGTCTTTCGACGAGGCAGCGTGAGGACCGCTGCAGTTGGCGCACTTCAGAGTAGTCGCCCGACAGACGTCTTCGGCATGAGGTTCAGCGCAACGAGGACACAGTCGTGAGTTGGGGCACACGCCCTTGACGTGTCCTAGCCTGGAGCACTGATGACATGGAAGTGGCTTTTGGATGAATGGTCGAACCGAATGTCGGAAATGTCCAACTTTAACGTGAGACGGTATGCAATCTTCCTTGAAAAACACTTTTACGCAGCGCGTATTTCCAAGGCGCCGCACTTGCGAAATGACAGTTCCCTTGTTTGCAGGCTTGATGAGGGTAGGCTAGTCAACATTAGGAATCGCAACGTTCATGTCATATATTTACATAGGAAATTTATTCATCATCTATCGGGATAAAGGGGCGCATTTTAATGCCGCCTAGCTCAGTGATTTTGCTGCAGCTGTCCTTGCGCACTCACATCGTGCACGTCTATGGCGAGATTATTCTTTCTTGGGTTTACTCTTACATCCTGAATTTGATCTGGCACCGCACATTCCATAGCAACGGAAAGGGCTTGCCTGTTCAGCAGTCGTAGGTTGCTTGAAGGATCTTCCGGAATGAAGATGATGACGTGCGGCCAGCGCGCAGGCCTTGACTGTACAGTCGCTGTACTTGCAGGAGCTGATGCTTATGTATTCCGAGTCCTTCTCTTCACCCTCTTACCCCGGACAGGTCTAAAGCTGTCATCGGATGTGTCGCCTTCCGACATAGAATACAAATCAGTGTCTTCGGTGTCACTGGGGGTTTCCAGCTCGCCTCCTTGTGGTTGACGGGTGTAAGGACCTCTGACCAGGTGGGCCTCTGGCATGCTCCGTGGGCATCAACGCAAGACGGGGAGGCGAGGCACCTTGAAAAATCGATGGTTTCACTAAACAATACAGAGCGCAGAAACAAGCATTCTTCTAAAGAGTGCCTTTTCAGTGCAGTAAGATGTGTGCCTTGGTAATGGGTGGCTTGCATTAAACCACAAAGTCAATATGATAATCACATATTGTCACACTCTATGGCAATGTACGCTTGTACTGGACGATATTAGTAGGTTATTAAACGTATTGTGAAGCCTGTAAACAGGACGCGTGTGTTTGTATGCAAGTTATATTCTTTGCACATCAATCAGAGGAATTCTTTTCGTGGCATTTCCATGCACACGCGTGTCTCTCTGCTAGAACACCTGCCTGCCACGCAAACAACCCCGGTTTCATCACCACTCAGACCCAGAATTTCTTATTACTTGTCTTCTTTGCCTCTTTCTCAATTCTTCGGTCACGCACAAGGTGATGAATGTTCCGCTCACAGCCAACGACGCCGGAAGATCTGTGAAACGAGCTCGCCAACGCTATGGCGTTATTAAGTGCATGTTTCATTATTGGCCTATCCACTCTGTGATGAACTAATTTCCATGTCAAACGTCATTGTGACGAGGTCTTTTATGTCGTACAATTCTGCATTTAGGTATGCCCTCATTGAAAAAAAATGCAGGCTGCTTGAGCTTCACTTTCAAGAGTACAACGCGATAACGTAGTCGCACCCCATATGCATCACCTTATTAATTTCAAGCCTAACTTCAGTTCTCGGTGCATGCCTCAACGGTGCCTCAAGGAAACAAATGTCTGTGCACGTAACATTAGCCGTTTCAAACTATCCTCGAATGATTTCTGTTGGTACAGTTGAACAGTGCTCACTACACACCATCATTCTTTCTTTTGCGTAGTAGAAAAGCGCTCACTATGCACCTGACAGGCAACACTGAAACCTATCCAGCTGCTCACTTTGGTGAATTTGCAGCTGACAATTATGATGAAATACGTCTGAGCGATTTGCAATGGGTGGGCTTTTGCACGGTTGACACGTTTCAATGTCTGGCGCAATTTTACGATTCTGCCATGCAATTATCAATATCTTAAAGAGACTCCTTCTACTGAATGACATTCATACAGTGTTTGTTTCCAAAGCAGTTTCAAACATTGATGTGGCTCTAAATTCCACACAGCACATTTACCGATTTCGCGGCTATTGCGGAAATAGGGTGCCATCGGTAAAGTTCGTACGGAAACCTACACTAGTCTCCGCGTACTCTACCAACACATTCCCGATGATAAAGTTAACCTGACTACACGACTTACTGGTAGTGCTCAGTTTTGGAACAGATCGCTCGCCCGTCAGCCAAGTTCATGGAGTGAAATAGCACAATACCTTTCAGTTTGCACCTGCCAATCCAATAACTATGGTGGCAAAAAGGTTGAATGATTCTTAGCGACACAACTTACGACACAACTTACGACACATGTCTCAACTACATGCAATATGTCCTTGTACAAAAAACATTTGCATTAGTTGCTGTGGTACAGTTTGTTGTCGTCTTAATGTGTTTTGTGGTATCAAGACTATTGAAAATTTGCCTTGGCAACTTTTTTCGCCAACCTGTGATCAACCTGTAATCAAGGAAACCACGTGCACGCTCGCAGGTTGCCTATAATAGTTACAATACATTTCTTGTATAAGTACAGACGAATGCCCAAGCTATTCGGAAAAGGTGTTTCGGATCTGCGACGAAAATGTGTAGCAATTACGTATGCACTTTTTACAAACGGGCATAACTTTTAATTGGGCCCTTCTTTTCCTTGTATTCCAGACTTCCACCTTCGTGACCTTCTTCCAAGCTCCTCATCCATGCACCACCACAGCCTTTTCACCACATTAAAACTCGAACTCACAACACAAGTGATTCCGACACGAACTAAAATTTTAGGCACGGCTACGCTGTAGGGGCGTGCAAGCACTATATTATGCTTGCACACTTTTCCTGTCGGGCCCTGTTTCAGGCTAATGGCTTTATAACTAAATTGTTCTCACTGCAGTGCACGACTTCCACCCACACAACTACAGGAACGCTGCATCGGCTGTGAATGATTCACCTAAAAATGCCAATCACTGAAACTGATGGCAAAGGCAGCAAAAAGGAATTGAAGGATGCCGTAATCAAAATCGATTATGCTATAACTGTGAAGTAAAAATTATTTGGAGACAGGTGCGAAATTCAATAATAATTCGGAATATTCCTGTACAAAGTAAATTGTCATAAAATAAATATTGCTGCGGTTAAGCCGATGGGTGTTTATTAGCAGGGCGAAGTTGACGGTTCGCTAGTAATGGCATCTGCATCTGCACCAGTTCACGTCTTCCTCCCTCTCTCTTCTATCAGCTCATACCCGTGGCATTTCCCGGCTCTCAGACGAAGCCCGCTGGGCGAGTATGAATCATTCTGAATGTTGAGGGTGAAACCGTTTAAGGCGGGTGACATGTACCAGCTGGGTCCAGTTTTGACTGACGGCCAGCTGATGTCAGCCGTGCTACCACGTATGTCGAATCGCTCAAGCGATCAACAATGATGAAATGGGCCACTGTACTGAGGTAAAAACTTTTCGCATAGGCCCCGTTTACCTTGTAGCGTCCACAACCACACAAAGTCTCCTTCGCATTATGCTACAGACTGATGGCGGCTGTCATAGCTTTCCTTTGATCGGTGTTGCCAAGCCACAGTACGAAGACGAGAAATACGCCGGGCTTCTTCAGCTAGGCAGAGTGTCTTGGAGACAGAGTAGTCGCTATGGAAGTCAAATGGTAGAATAGTATTGATGCAGCTTAACAGTGAACGTCCGTAAAGAAGGTAAAAAGGACTGTAAGTGGCTGTCTCATGTTTGGCCGTGTTATACCCATACGTAATGAAGGGGAGAACGTCATCCCTATCCTTGTGGTCAGACGATACGTACATGGCCAACATGTTAGAGTTCTGTTCGTACGTTTTACCAGCCTATTCGTCTGAGGGTGATACGGGGATGAGCGGCGGAAATGCGACTTGCACAGACGAACCAGTTCTTTGACGGCGTCCGCAACGAACTCACGACCACGATCACTAATGATCACTCTAGGAGGGCCATGCCGAAGAATGATGAATCTAAGCAAAAACATGACCACTCAAGCCGCTGTCGAGAATGGTATCGCTGCAGTTTCTGCGTAACGAGTCAGATGGTCAACGCACACTATCAACGGCGTCGGTATCTGCACCAGTTCACGTCTTCCTCCTCTTCTCCACTCTCGGCTCATACCTGTTGCATTATGCATGTTTTTATAAGTGGTGATCAGCTGCCCCAAATTATAATATACTACATCAGTCAGAATTATAGCACTAAGAGCTATCCTATGAAATGTGCTGTTCAGTTCTGTTTTGTTCTGCTCTGTTTAGCTGTGGTTTGAGGTTCATGTCCATATTGCTTCGGCTTCTCACTACATCTCGGTAACTTCCACAGCGAAACAAGTAGTAACGAATAGTACACAAAACGAAGAATCCGCAGAAAAAGAAAGAAAGAAAAAATACATAATAGAACGTGGAAGTAAGTTGAAATAACATGCCAATGTGCAGTTTTCTTGCAGGAGTTCACACTGCCGTAAAACGTTCACAAGCACACATTTATGTGTCTACTCACAGTATATGGGGGACCGCCAGGTGGCGCCGTTTTGTTTGGCTGGCCGCATACAGTGCTCCACTTTCACGTGTTCTTGGCCCGTTACCGGGCCCCGCCCGTGTCTGGACAAGCTCACTATTCCTTCTGGAAGACTTCCGGGACACGCCGACAACATCCGGGCCCCGGTCCGACCCCAGGCTGGCCCCCCAGGCCCCTTCAAAAGTACGAAGCGGCGCGCCGCCGCGCTAACCCTAACGCGCCGCGCCTGCACCTCCACGATGCAGAGTCCCGCCCAGCACTCGACACCAACGACAACTTACGCCCTTTCGGTAAGCCCAGCCTCCTCCGGTCGTACGCCTGATACAGCCGTGCCTCCGCTGTCACCATCTGGCAATGTCACCAGCCCCGCGCCGACAACAATACAGCAACAGGCAGCGTTCCTCAACAGCGCGCACGGTCCAGCAACGTGCAACGCTGGTGGCGTCTCTGCTACTCTCAGCTTTATAGCCACGCAAACGCCGGAGCCCGAGAGCAGTAATGCAGCGTTGGCATTGCAATCAACCACGCCTGCTGCTCTCCCCACCTTATCTGCGTCTGGCCTACCCATTGGAAATTCCGAGTCTGTCGACAAGCGCGTTTCGACGAGCGTCGTTCCTTCCATCGCCGAAGTTTTGCCTTCCATCACTTCAGCTGACGATTTATCGACGGAAATGGACTTCACGGCATCGCAAGTCAACGAAGACAATACGCCATCCCCTGAAGGCAGCTGGAACACCGTTAGTGCCAATCGAAAACCTGCCTCGACCGCCCGCCCCCGCTCCGAGCTCATCACCGTCGGAATCCAACTTCCACCCGGAACACTCACGCCGAAACTGCCTCTCTATGACCTGCTTTCTACCATCACAGCCGCCGCAAATCTCTCTCCCAAGACCAGTGCGGAGGTCACCCTTCAAGCCAAACCTGCTCAGAGCCTTGTGTTTCTGAAAACGCACTCACCTCTCACTGCCCACCTCCTACTCTCCCTCACAAGTCTGGAACTTAATGGTAAGCCGATCACCATTAAGCCCTATGCCCTCAGTCCTCCAATATCATGTCTCGGCGTCATACACAACGTCGGTGGTCACTTCACAACATCTCAGCTCTTGCATGACCTCGAATCCTTTACTTCAGATATACTCGCTGCACGTATGATGGGCTCCACTGAATCCGTCCTCATAACATTTGCTGGAACCATCATTCCTCGCTTTGTGTACTTCAAACGCGTCTCTTTCCGATGCCGTCCACATAAACCCAAGCCCCCTACTTGCACTCGGTGTTGTTTTAGGGCACCGTGCTCATCAATGCC